AAGGACAGCGGCTTGTCTGTTCCCCTTCCCCGATTCCCCAATGCTATTTCCCTCCCCCAATTCCCCAATAAAAAATCTTTAAAAAAAAAGAAAAGAAATAAAACAAGGTGATGGGAAAGAGAAGGTGGTGGGTAGCACCAGGTGGGCAGAGGGAACTACTGTCGACAGACTAGCAGTCAGGAAGCGCTTCTCTGGGCGGTGACGCATCATGAGCCAGCTGGGCGAGGATTAGAAGAACTGCATTACAGGAAGAAGAAATGCCAAGTGCAATGACCTTAAGGCAAGAAGAAGCCTGGCTCGTTTGCAGAATACAAAGAAGGTCAGCAAAACTGGAGTGCAAATATTGAGGAAGAGAGGGGGACAAAATAAAAGAGGAAAAAAGCAAGAGCCAGATCACACTGGGCCTTGTGGGCTTCATAATGACTTGGGGTTTTCTTCTCAATGGAGAGATTTAAATGGATTTGCTTTTTAAGATCGTTTGGATGCTATTTGGAGACTGGAATTTAAAAGGGGCAAGTGTGAGAGAGAGAGAGACAGACAGACAGACTTCAGTGGGGAAAGTCAAACAGTGGGTCCAGGTGAGACAGATTAGGACAGACAGGGGCAGTGGAGGCAGAAAGAGGTGGCCAGACTGGGAATGAAGTCTGAAGATGGAGCCAAACGTATATGCTGATAGACTGGATGTGCAGGATAAGGAAAAGGGAGGAATCAACCATGGGTCCCAGCAGCTGGATAGGTGCTCAGTGCCATGAACAGGGAGAAGGCTCGGGAATGAGGGATGGAGGAGAAGGGAACATGAGTCAGCATGGTTTTGGGGGGTTTTTTTGGTAAATGAGTTTGGCGCATTGACCCTGTTGGGGGCTGCCGGCCACTCAGAGGTATCCTATGACAGTACATGTTATATAGCCGCCTGCCCTGTCCCCATGCCCCAGGTCACCAAGCCATTCTGATTTTTTTGCTTTTGTCTCTGGCTCCCTCCTCCTCTCTGGAGGCCCATTTCCAGGTGGCGCTCCCTCCCCCTCATTTCTCTCCTTAAAAGCCTCTGCTCTCCATTTCTGCGGCCCCTGCAGCCTCTGATTCCAAAGTCCTCATTTGAGCTCTTTTTCTTTCCTGGACCTTCAAGGCTCTTGTCCATTCTCCTCTCCTTCTCCGCCCCCTCCAAGGCCAAGGCTGGAACAACTGTAAGCACCCGAGTTGCCAAAAGGAAATAGGATATTTACCAGCTTCCTTCCAGTTCCTTATTTATAAGACAATTTCTAGGAAGGTGGGTCGTCTTTGTTACAATTTGGCGTTACACACACTGACTTGACACCATCTTCTGAGAATTCAAGCTTTTTTATATTCCTAATTGGAAATCAGATCGGATAGGTAGGCATCCCCAAAGTATTAGTGGGTTACAGTTCAAAAGTCACAAATTAGTTAACTGGAATATTGGTTCTATATGGAACAAAAATTATAAAGGTTTCTAACGCATACTTCCCAGTAGTCCACGTCACTCATATATTTGAACCGAGGTCCAGAGCAAAGAGAGTAGAGAGACACAGTAGAAATAGTTCCTAATTCTCAATCCAAAATGTTCTTCTTCTCCAGTGACTGACATAAACCCATTCAGACTCAAACCCATTCCTCTCTCTACCAAAAGGGGCAAGGCCTTCCCTGGGTCCTTACTAGAAAAACCACATGAGAACACAAGATTAGCATGAAAGGCAGAAAGGGAAAACTATTTAATTAGGTCAGCTGTTATTACTTATAAATTTAAAAACCTAAGTTTGAAGAGCTCAAGCTTTCTCAGGGTTACAAAGTGGTAAGGATCAGAGGTAACGCGGAAAAAGAGATCTCACACATTGCACTATACTAGTGCATCATCTTAGCAGGACAGCCGTGGCTTGTGAAATATACAATTACTTTTCAAAGATATTTCATTTGGAAAAAAGATACTTAAAGGCGTAGTTTTCTCCCCCCAATAGCAGTTCTTGATACAAGTAAAATATACAATCACAAATTTATTTAACAAAATGTCACAAAAAAGTTAAAGAGAAAGAACATTTTTCACTCCCAATTTATCATCTGTATTGTTAATAAAAATTTTCACTACAAAAATAAGCTGGAAAAATGACTCTGATACACTAAGCTAAAAACAGTTTGGAAAACTAACAACTTAATTGAAAAAAAGTGAAATTTACTAGATAATACTTTATTTTGTTCCATTACACTTATTACCATGCGACAGTTTTTATACTGCTATTAACTATCTCCCGCTAGACTACAATTTCTGTGGAAACACAGATTCTGTCTATTTTGTTTACTGCTGCATCCCCAGCACCTACAATATTCACTGACCCATAGCAAACATTTGATAAATATTTTTCCACTGTTGAATGAAAAAAATGTGACGTGAGATTTTTCTTGCAGCAGCGTATTCATCGTAAGCCTGCTTCTTGAACGAACCTTCATAAACTGGGAATAGAACATAAAAGCGGAATTCAATGGAAAAAGTTAAGCTGGGAAAAGGAAGGTTCTAGCGAGTGATCTTGACTGATGGTGTGAAAAAATCATATACCAGAATGCAAAGCAAAACAGGCTTGTTCCAATTAACACAGATGTCACAAATCCCCTACATTGCAACTTAGGCACTTAACTGCCAGGTCAGTGCTCCTGTGTACCCATGAGCTCTCCCTCCCGTGCCGTCCCGTCCCCTCCCCCCACCCTGTCTCTCCTCCTCTCTCCCTTCTCCTCTCCTTCCTCTCTTTCCCCAATCCCATCTCTCTCTCTCTCCCCTCTCTTTCTCTCTCCTTTCTTTCTCTGTTAGTCTTCTATTTTATTTTTAAAAAGTAATTCCAAAAAACTTGTTTATCTGATTTTCCAAGCTCAAAGTAAATCAGAGGTTAGAACTAGAAGGGCACCATAGGAAGAGACTCACTAGGTGAAAGAGACAGTCTGGCAGCCAACATGCTGACAACCAGGAAAAAGAAAATAAAGCAGACACCAAAAAAAGCACAGGAATCTGATATCATTTAGTTTCAATTCAAATATATCCATACACAAATATATCCAGATTTCTTGCGAAAGTTTTGCTATTTCAGAACATAGTAAATGATTTTCATACTGATTACACAAATAATCCAAGCTGAGACTACGTTCTGTAGACTCTGCTTGAAGGCAACAAAGAACTATGTCACTCTTTATTATAATTTCCATAAAATTATAAATAAAAAAGGTCAATCATTTAAGGGACAAGCAATTAGTAGAGCAACTTAGTTAAGTGGAATACCTCCCCACCCCAGTGACAACAGCAGCTACCTGTTTTTTGGGTTTTGTTTTCAGGGACTATTATGTGCCAGGCCCCACACTAAGTCCTTTATATACAGTTTCTCTCCTAATCCTCTTAGGTCTATAAGGAAAATGTAAGTCTTCCCATTTTCTAGATTAGAAAACTGAGGTTAGAGAGGATAAATACACGTTCCAAATCTTAAAGACAGAAAGTAGAGTGGCTGGGACTCAAACCCAGGTGTGTGACTACAAATCTCGTGCTTTCTACTGTAGGAAGCAGCCTCTGCAATAATAACAAACCAGGGAAACTGTAAGAGCCAAACACTGTGGAAAATGTGGCTTTTTGACAACAGAATTCAGCATGGCTCCCCAAAGTCATGAACCTGGAACCCCAAACTATATTCGCTATTCACTCTTTTTCTTTCCTATGGTCTAAAAGATTTAATGCTTATTTGGGATAATTAATCAAGGAATTCAACAACATATATTATGTATTCTCCTTGTACAACATTGTAATAAATACTGGTTATTTCACTATTTCACTGGTTATTTCACTACTAACCTTCAAATAGTTCCTTTACCATTTATTCAATGAGAGATACAGAAGCATTAGATTATAAATAAAGACAACTGAGACATTCAAATGGGAATGGGTGTTGTGAATAAAGCTAAATTGAATAGTGAGAAAATATAAAAATGTAGGTTTCTCAACTGGAAATTCAACTTTTGGACAGTGTTACCTTGTAAATGTCGCCACTTTTTTTTAGCTCTACACTAGAAAGATACGTTTTAGAAGTATTCCTCTGTTAAGAAGTAGTAGCGTATTTCAGACTAGAGATATAAATTCTCCTTCTATATCTTAAGAAATTATATTACTGGAATATTTTATTTTACCACTGGCTTACGTGAAGTTCCAACTTACCATATCTGTGCTAAAACAGGTTGAGGTAACCCAGATTGAAAAAAAAAGTTTCTAGCTTGATCACCTGGAAATGAAGTGGAAACAGTTTCAGAAGAAAACAACAGCTGAACAATAACAGAAATCTACTTACAGCAAAATTGCAAAGATAAGAAAAGGCTGGTAATCCTGTAAATACAGAATTGAATACATGATAAAGGCCAAATGGCTAAGTCTATAAAGCAACAGTAAAATGAATCCATCAGCATTGACTTCAGAGCTTAACACTTTAAAAACTCATCTCAAAAAGGGCATACCATCTGCAGGGATAGACACTTTAATTGATGTGCTATTAACTAAGATGGTAACAGTTGCACATGTGACAAAGCACATCTACAGGGATCCTCAAGAAAACAATGACCCATACTTCTACTTTATTGAAAATGGTCTTCGCCATTCCCGGTATCTACTTCAAATTTTGGGTACTTCTAATATATTTACGGAGAATAAATAACAACTATTAAAAGAATCACATCAATGATTAAGAATTAATAAATTAAAGAGAACTGTGTGACAAACACAAGAACAAGTCTCCCAAGAAATCTAGATCCCATTTTTTTCTAAAGCCAATTCCTAAAGAATAATCAAACTGGAAAGTAACGGAAAAGTCAAAGTACAAAAGGCACTTTAGGGGCACAACAATAAGAGTGGTTTTTTGTGTTTTGTTTTTTTTAATGTTCAGAATTTGTTAGTTTATTTAAGTTTCCCAAACAAGTTCAAGATCAGAACTAAGCAAGTGTTTTAGCTCAAGGACCACCGCCCAGTGCTACTTAAAGAATGTGGTTCATTGATCTTAACCAATTCCCATCAGTGATATGCTGGGAACAAGTAGCTTGACATCCATTGAAGACTGTAATCAAGGCTTGAATGCATCATAGGAAAAGCAACTGTAAAAATACAAGCTCAGGTGATGGCAAAATGCGTCAATGTCCCCCCCAGCCACATGTGCCCACCTTAGCTTTGCATAATAGATTCTCTCCACAGGTATATGCACTACTGAGAAGTAAAAATGTAAAAATACGGATCCAATTACCAGTAATAAATCCAGATATTGGCTTTAAACTATGGAACTGTTGATCATGCTTTGCTCTTTCCTCTACAGTTATGGCCCAGATATCCAGGCTGCCTACAATCCAAAGAAAAGACAAATTATTCAATGAGGAAAAAAAGAAAAAAGAAAAAGACAAGGTGCTCACACAAACTATTTCCATAGTACTTTAAGAGTTTGTCAATGTTATAAATGATTTGATAAATTAATACCTGTTTGTCCTTGGAAGTTATACACAAAAAGTTAGAAAATTACGAGTAAAGTAGCTGTCTTCCCCCAAAAAAAGAAATTGGCACAAATTATTTTTATAAAAACTGTCCTATAATCCTATAGTTAGCAGGATTGTATGAAGACCTAGTAAGTTAATCATCATCATTTATTTACAAAAACTTAAGCAATAGACTAATTTAAAACTGCATCTTCGGATGTCTTAAATGCCATATGTGCAACTTATGAAAAAAAGTTGGGCCTTGCAATCCTACATAATTCCATATTTGTTAAAAATATTTAGATATTGGATTATAACGATGGTTGCACAACTCGTAAATTTACTAAAAACCACTGAGTCAACTGTATAGTTAAAACTAGTGAATTTTATGAAATGTAAATTATACCTCACTAAGACTGTGTTTTAAAATGGGGTCCTTGAAAAAAGTAATGGCAAACCAAAGAGAATGGAATTTTTGTTCTCCTTCAGTTTCAGCTCTAAGTCTGCCAGATGTTCTCACACTTCCGAGTCCTAGGTCTCCTCAAATAAATTTACCAAAACAATTTTTAATTACATAGATACAAGGCTTTCAAAAGTTCAAACACTTTCCCAAAAGGTGGGAACAGACAATATGTATGTTTCATACAAAATGTGAATATGTCTAACACAAAAGCAAAATGTCTAAGCATCACATTTAACCTCTCTGTGGGGTCTGATATGACAGTGACATGTAGAATGGTAATTCAATCATTGGAAACATTATTTAGGGAACATATTAATGTGCCAAGCACTGTGATAGATATCAGGGATAAAATGGTGACTGATACAGGTATGACCGTTTCCTCACAGGCCTTATAGTCCTGCAAATTCTAAAAGGGATTTTTAATGCCCGTCAGAATTCTTCCCTGGAACTATAAACAAACACAAGACCAAAAGAAAAAAAAACAACCCAAAACTTGCCCAGTAAGTAAGAAGGAAGACAAAAGCAAAACACAAATAAAACAATAACACTAATGGTTTTGAAAACTTTCCAGGCTGCTGTACTAGAATCCCACAGAGGCTTTTACAGATGTGATCAGGGGGAGGATGCTTTGTGCTTTCTGGCTCTCTTCATGACTGGATCAGACAGCTGCCAAGAGTAATTAATTAACATCTCACACTCTCTTTGAAAAAAAAATACTTAATAATGTTAGGAAAAATGACCTAAAAAACATATTGTATGTAGATGGATATGTTTTAAGAAGATAAACTAAAGCAAATCAAAGTGTCATGTTTCAAATCCAGGCTTCAAAAACCGTATAGAACAAATGATCCAGTCACTTCAACAAATAAATTGGGAAAAAAAAACAAAAAAAACCACAGGAATGGAAGGGGAGTGAACTAATGAAGACGCTTAGGAGACACATGAGCTAACTGCAATGTATGTATCTTGTTTGGATCCTGACGTGAACAAACAAACTGTAACCAAAAAATGGCTAAATCGGGGAAATTTTAACACTGACTTGATAGTTGATATTAAGGAATTACCATAAATTTTGTAGGTGTGATAATGGTATTGTAATTACACCTTTAAAAGTGTTCTTATCTATTAGAAACACATCCTAAAATATTTGTGGATGAAATGATATGATGCCTGAGAGCTGCTTCAAAAGAACCCAGATGAACCAATGTTGGCCGTGAGCTGAAAATCACTGAAGCTATATGATGGGTCCTCATAAGATGGGTTAATTATAGTATTCCCTCTACTTATGAGTATACTTGAAATTTGACATACTACTAAGTTATTAAAAATGTGGTTCCAAAGTACATTAAAAGAGTGAAATCTTTGAACACTTACCACCAAAAGGCGTTGGAAACTGAGCCATGGTTCTGTTACTTTTCCCTTGCTAGTCGACGCCTGGAAGTGAAATGCAACATTTAAGTTTATGAAAACTTCACTCCTATAAACACATTAATATTCTGTGTCTTTAATGATCAGAAGACTGATACCAGAACTGGGGTACAGCACCACAAATGAAAGTTACAGCTAAGGGGCTCATTCATTCATGCATTCATCCTCTGCACAGTTTCTTAGTGGCGGGTACAATGATGGGCACTGGGGAATGTTAGTGAAAGACTCTCTGGCACAAGAAGCTTTCAGTCTGGTGAGTGATACCTACCATTCATTAGCCCAGGACAGCTTGGGCTACAATTTCACCAATGTTGTATGTGTTACTTTTTCAATATATATTTTTCTCAACTGTCTGCATATACATGTTATAACAACAGCTCCTTTTAATGAGCACTTAGAATATGCTGCCCACTGTATCAGGTGACTTATCAGTTTTATTTCTTTTCATTGTCATCACAGCCCTATCCGATAGATCCTATTATCACCATCCCCATATTACAGATGAGGAAAATGAGTATCAGAGAGGTGACGCGATTAGGCAATACTATAATTGGGTACCAGCTGGACTGGAGCAGTGGCAGCAAACTCCACAGCCTTCAGCCCATGAAACACTGTCTGCAATCGCTGCTTATGGATTTTGAGAAAGGCCGTCAACAATGTATATTGCACTAATGTGTCCAGAACACCAAACACACACCCACTGCTCCATAATCCCCATCAGGCACTATTTGTTCATGAACAGCCAATGTGTAACCAAGCCCATCCTTTTCCTCAACTAAAAAAATCCACTTACTGAATATTTTTCCTCATAGTTAATTTAACAACACAGTAAATGTTCATAGTTACAAATAAATACCAATTAATCACAGATTTAAATTTTAGCTAAAATTAGATTTTAAAAATGCCCCAATATTCTTCAATTTCATCTTCCAATCTGTCCATGGAATTATTTTCCAACTATGATATTTTTAAATTTCCAAAAGCTTTCTTGTTCTCTACTCTTTATTCCTAACACTGTCTTTTTTTTTCTTTTTTAACAAACACAGTGTCTTTTACTCTTCTCATTCTTTTTTTCCATTTTGCTCTTTAGTTTTCTTCTGTTTCTTACATCACTTGATTCCTTCTGTTTGTTTGTCAGCTGATATCTGTTGCAGGCCTCTCTCTCTTTCCGTTTTGAGGCTTTCTTCACTATCTGGTGCTCCCTGGGTGATCCTTCGTATTTAACTTGAGACACTAAACAAATGCTCAGAAGCTGAGCGTGGGTGGCAGGTTTGTTGATTGATGGGGTTCTCCATACAATGATCATGGATAGACAGCCTGTCACCTTTTCATTAAGAGGACCCCCAAATATCAGTATGGAGAGGTTTTTTTCATTGAAGCGGTTCAGTTTTGCCAGAGAGAAAGTGTAGGGGAGGGTGGAGAGGGAACGCCACATTTAGCTGCTGGCTTCTGAAGCGGAGTAGAGAAGGGAGAAGGTAACAGACATTACCCAAAAAAATAATAATAATAAATAATATATAATCTCCTAAAGAAGATAAATGCAAAAATCCTTCACAAAGTATTAAGAATTGAATCTCAGTAATATACAAAAAGCATAAGACATGAATGAATAGGGTTTATCCCAGAAGTACAAGGTTAGTTTAACATTTGAAAATCAATTAATGTAATTTACCATATTAACAGAATAAAGCAGCAAATCCATGTGGTTGTTTCAATAAATGTGGAAAAAAGCTTTTAACAAAAACTCTCAACACTCAATAATAACAAAAACTTTCTGAAAACTAGGATTAGTAGACTTCCTCAAACAAATACAGAACATCTATGAAATTTTCAAATGTTAAGATAATTGGAAAAACAAGTTTTTTCTCAAGTCTGAGCATTAGTACATTTAATATTCTTCTCACTTTTGATCAGATTATCATTTCTATTTAGAGCTTACTTGAAAATAAGCCTTTATACCTTTCAAAGATTTCTTCTTGCCAAAGTCTTATTCATTTATTCAGGAAAAGTTTTTATACCCATGAACAACACAAGGCTATACTGATCCAACATAAATAACAGGATGTGTCAGTGATTTTTATCTCCTCATTAAAGCATTTTAAGATGGTCTTAAAAGAGCTGATTTCTAAGTCCTTATCTCATTCAAATGACATCTTAAAGCTCTACTCCCAGAATCTGAGATAACTGTCTACATTATGCCAAAATTATGGAGTTAGCTTCAGTAAAGATTTACTGGCATGATCCTTGCTATTAAGGAGTTTACAATTAACTCAATAGCAAAAAAACAAATAACACAATTAAAAATGGACAAAGGACCAGAAAAGACATTTTTCCAAATAAGAGATACAAAGAGCCAACAGGTATACAAAAAGGTGCTCAACATCACTAATCATGGAGGAAATGCAAATCAAAACCACAGGGAGGTATCACCTCACACCTATTAGGATGGCCATCATCAACAAGACAAGAGATAAGGAGTGCAAAGCTGTGGAGAAGAGGGAACCCTTATATACTATTGATGGGAATGTACACTGGTACGTCCATTATGAAAAACAGTATAGGAGTTCCTCAAAAAATTGAAAATAGAAATAGCATATGACCCAGCAATCCCACTTCTGGGTACATATCCAAAGGAAATGAAATCACTATCTCGAAGAGATATATGAACTCCTATGTTTACTGCAGCATTATTCACAACAGCCAAGATATGGAAACAATTTATCTGTTGACAGATAAATAATGTGGCATACATATGCAATGTAGTATTATTCAGCCATAAAAAAAAGGAAATCCTGCCATTTGTGACATGAATGAAACCGGGAACATTTTGCTAAGTGAAAAAAGCCAGAAACAGAAAGACAAACGCTGCATGATCTGACTTATATGTGGAATCTAAAAAAGTCTAACTCCTAGAACCAGAAAGCAAAATGGTACTTGCCAGGTGGATGGAATGAGATGGTGGTCAAAGGATACAAACATTCGGTTATAACATGAATAAGTTCTGTGGCTCTAATGTATAGTATAGCATGGTGACTAGTTAATACTGTATTGTATACTTGCAATTTTCTAAGAGATCTTAAGTGTTTTTATCACACACACACACATACACAAATGGTGTGAATGTGGTAATCATTTCATAATGTATACATATATTAAATCATCATGTTGTACACCCTAAATATAGTTTATTCGTCAATTATACCTCAATAAAGCTTTACAATTATACCTCAATAAAGTTTACAATTAAATAGGGGCTAGAAAATACACACCAAAACTGTGTATGAGTGTGTGTGTGAGAGAGAGAGAGTGTGTGAGTGTGTGTGTGTGTGTGTGTGTGTGTGTGTGTACAAAGAACCATAAGCAACAAATAGTAATTAACTAAACCTTTATGAAATGCTTACTAATACATCTGATCTGTATTAGCCAATTTAACCCTATGAGTTAACTAATATTACTGTCCCATCTTACAGATGTGGAAACTAAGGCAACAGTTGACGCAATTATTATTGTTTCTTACACAATTATTAAATAGTGGAAGAGGGAGTCGGTCTGGATTCAGGGCCTCTGATCCTAACCCATACTTTTCAGGATTAAGTATTTCATGGAACAATCATGAAGTAGTTAGCCTGGCAAGCCACCCAGGGTGGAGCTGGGGGGAAGGAGGGAGGGGTCCTGTTAGAAGCAATAAAAGCACAGGGAAACAAACAGGAGAAAGGGACACCAAGAGCTTGTTTAAGTGTCATCGCAGACCACAGAGGAAACTGAATCGGGGAAATAAGCTTAAGGCCTTTGCCATATAAATCCAAAGAGCTTTCACTTCTAAATAAGCAAAGCTGCCTTAAGTGCAAGGAAGCATTTCTCCAATGAAAAATGGAAGCTACACCAACACACACACACACACACACACACACACACACACACACACACACACACACACACACACCAGCCCAGAGCAGTATAAAGAAAAAAACAACAACAAAGTGAGTGATCCAGAAGTTCTATCCATATGATAGGATTTCAACAGGATAAGGTAGGCCACCTACACTGAAAACAAAAAGAAACGCAGGACCCGGCTAGAGCAAAGCAGTGAAGGGCATTCTGCCCTCTGAGGTGTGGGGTCCTACCTGGGAAGCAGGGGGCAGGACCGGTGCCCAGAAGGACGGTGGTTGCCCCCAAGGGCGGAAAGGTCGCCAGCACAGAGCTGATGCTGTGCTGCTGGGGGACCATCTGCAGCTCTATAGACAGAAGCAGCCACCATGCAGACAAATACGCGCATACTGTCCTACTTCATTAACAGCTTGGTATACTGTATTTCCTTTTAGCCTTTTCCCTATAAATATACAATTGTTTCCCTCTTTTGCACACTCTACATTACAATACATACTCTCCCCAAGTTGTTAAAACCTTTCATAAACATGTTACTGGACTTAGATATAAATTTTTAGAGTAAGGCAAACACTCCTACATTTACACATAAAAAATAGAGTAACACACAGACTAAATATGGAGCAATCAAGAAATCAGTAAATAGCAGTAGTTTTTAAATGTTTGGATGTTAGGATTTTTAAGTGGAAAGCTACAACATGGTTGAGAAATGTCTTTAACCTTCCTTCATTTCAGCTTCAGAAAGGAGAGCTAATTATAGAACGTTAAAAGAATGTTGATCCTTAATTTCAGCATTTACATTAGAATCCCAAATGTTGATGTAAAGTACAAGACCTCTATGTGTATTTATAAAATAAAAATTCATCCTAAAAATAGTATTTATTAAAATGTCATTTCGTGTGGTAAAATTATGTTGAAATAAGTTTGTTATTTGATTTCCAATGTTTTGCTGTCATAAAGGGAGGCCATTCAGAAAACATGAAACGATTTTAAAAAAAAAGTAAAAAACAATACATATAAAATTGGTTTCTACAGCATAATAAACACTAAATTTAGCAGTAAAAAAGGGAAAAACCATGAAGAATAAACTTTCTAAACTCTAAAATACTGGCATAATTTAA